AATAGTTACTAAACTGACCGCTAGCGCTAGCCTAGTTTGTGTTTCCGGGCCCAACGTCGTGTTTGCGAAGAAAAAAGCGAAATTGTGTAAATCCACGCAATGTAGCCATGTTCGGGTTTGGCAACGATAGTGTCTTCGTCACGAGGAAGGTCAATGTTGAATAGGGAGTGTTAAAATGTAGTTACGAAAATATATAGGGTGTCCAGTAACTCTCTGGACTCATGTATATAGCGTTATTGCATAGGTCAAAACAAACACATTTCACCATATGAACATGGGTCTGCGGTGCCTGCGGACTGTCGGTATTTATGTGTTTTTTTGTACAATAACATTAATAACTCCTAAGCATTTTGGAATACAGCCATGAGATTTTGCAAAACCGTTCATCTTATTAAGACTTATCTTTGTTTAAAATTATACTAAAAAATCATTAATCGTTTAAAAATGGCAGCACTTTAAAATATTTGATGCCAAATTTCACGAAAACCGTTAACTTAACGAACATTAATCCATCCTTATTTGTGTACATCTTATTTGTATATATTATTACATTATTAATTACATTATTATTACATTATTACAATTATTACATAATAATTGTATATCTTATTAGTGTACATCCTTATTTGTTAAGAATGAATAAATAATAACAGAGAAATGCATTCTTTTCCAAATGCATGACCACTTTTCTTCTTTTAAACAATGCTAAACAACGTAAAAGGAGTATTAGCATTGTTTAAATGGAGAAAAGTGTTCATGCATTTGGGAATAAGTAAATTATTGTAGTTTGCTTGTTTATGGATAGCCTATATTTTGATCATACTGGCAAATGTATTTATTTTATACATAGCTAATTATATTTCACTAAAACACGCTTTATTACCTTCCCTGTAGCAGCAACCCTAGGCACTCGTTAAACCTAATGCTATTTAAATAGATTTGTGGAAATAATCAGACAAATGGAAATTCTCTAGTCAGCAAGTTTGCTGCGTCGGGGTATTTGTATATTTAATTACTGTAGTCGTATTTAAAGAAATTCAGTAAGATTGCCAGTGAAATATATGTGGTTACATAAAGAAACAAATACAAAAAAGCAAGTATTTAAAAATTCAAAAAATTAATAAACCTTGTCCAATGGTTAAAAATGTGAAAAATTAAAGAAGGGTAAAGAGAGAGTAAGATATTCAACCCTCCCAGTAAACTACGATTGCTCATTTTATGAATCATGAGGTGGCCAACTATTGTTTACTTTGTTTTTTAATGATATTTGAATAAACCGTATTTATTTTATGTAAAGGACGAACGCCATGTCAAAACATTTTCCATAACAATTGTTAGGCCAGCTGACTACAGTGTAGTCACAGTGCTCAACTTCAAAAATGTAGGCCGCTGGTTCAATTCCATGGGATTACGAGAATGAAGTTATGTTACAAAGAGTATATAGTAATCAGGGTTTTTTACGTTCCCTTAAAAAACTGAATAATATTGCAAATGGCGTGGAATGGGAGTATAAAAAAATTAAAGCTATAACTTGACATCATTTAACATTTTAATTTAATTTAAAAACAATTTATAACTTTAAAAATGTAGTTTATACTCTATTGTAAAATACAAGAATAGAATTCTAAAAGAAATCTTATAAACGTCAATTTAATCCAGTCCAGAAGAAAAGATTTAAGGTTTCTTCAGAAAAGAAAAGTCACTGAAACAGTATTTTTGGAACTACGTTGTTTCTGGTCTATAAATAAAACTAGGTTGTAAAAAATACCCTGTAAATACCCTCAACTGATTCCACCATTCAGTTGGGATCGATCACTTTAAAATACAGTATTTAAAGGCTTTAAACTAACATTATAAATATAGGTTTTATATACTTTCAAATAGATAGTACTAGGCTATATTTAAATAGTGAATCCACAACCATACATCTACTTTGATAAACGAATTCCATAGGTTTTTCTTTCCAAGAAATGTATGAACTTGAATCTGTTGCAAATTGTTACTACCACAGAATCAAGAGTTTCTACTTCTTAGTCTGTGGGTAACTAAAGCATACCTGATAGATTTGATAACCACACAGAAAGCTTTGAATACAATGACGTGGTAGCCTACTACACGGACAACGTAGAAAACGACTATAGTGATTAAGCCGACAGGGATAAAGGGATTCTTTAGCGGATTTTGGGACTGCAACTAACAGCAACGATGGAACAGCTTAGGAGACTATCTTTGATAAATGTATAAATAGGAATTTACGATTCGAGAATGTATGATGAAGCGAAGCTAACAGTCTTTAACCTTCTAAGACTGGGACGGGTGGCGTCGTCCTGTAATCCAGCTACTAGGAGGTCAGGAATTGTGGATATTTATAGGCATACACTGTGGCTGCGATACTCCCTGGTGTGGATTAACGTCCGCACGAGAGAGTAATACGACTATCGCAGTACTATCCTGATAATTAGACCAATTCGTATTTACCAAGGAAAAAATGGGGTTCGGATTCCACTATAAACTGTAGGTCCCTTAGTTGCCATTAGCTGTATGGGCTATTAATTAACAGCTGTGTCTAAGGAATGTCGGCCTTAGTCACTACAAGATCGCGCCACTCATCTCCATTCATACTTGGCTTAAAATACCTACTATGTATGGTCGCCATTTCATTGAACAGTATACACAGAAATATTTCAACTACTCATCATCATACTCAATTCATAAAACCTTTAAGTAGTGCCTACTACAAAGTGATTCAAAAGTATGTCACAGCGCTGATTGCCAGAACGATTCAACAACTACCAATCTGAAGTTGTCAATTTCCTCAATGAATGTGACGGCTAGAATGTCAGTAAGGAGAACAATGCTGAAGGTATGTCAGAACCGCTCTGTGACGCGACCTGTCACTGTTACTGTGATGTAACTTTTCTTGCTAATAACGGTGACCAATGTGGAACGGTTCTTTCAATGTCATCTTGTATGAGGTGTCTAAAGTGATTTATTCATAATAAGTGGTTGCCTCACTTCCCAATTGGTCAACTATATATTTTTGCTCCAGTTTACCCCAGTAGTGTAACAGGATGGTCAAATATTGCAAAGTACCAGATATGAGAGACAACTGTTAAACTATTCATTGTTTCGAATGCTTTAAAAAGGTCATACCTACTTGAAGAGTTAAAAGTAAACCAATCAGAAATTGTATATAATGTTTTGTTATTTAATCGTATAGGCCTATTATAACACATTCTAAACACTTCTCTTACTTTCAATAATTTTTGTTTTAATGTTGGTTGTTTTGTTTTGTTCTTAATGTGAGTTTGAGAATTTATTTAAAAGTCTAGGGGTTTTTTTATAAATTATATGTTGTATTTGTGAGTTATATGTTTGTGTAGGCTTCCTATTTACCCATCCCCACTGACCAACTGTAGACAAGGCTACAAGAACTTCATGATTTGCCGTGTTATCTTCAACATTGTGATAGGAGGAAGAGACTTTGTCAAACTCAATGAAAACTGGGGAAACGCAGCTGGGGGGGGGGGGGGCAAGGGCTTTTAAGAAGGGGAGAACTTCAGGCTGCAGTACACTCAATCAATGATAAAAGGAGTCCAACATCATCGTCAACCAAAGTCGATTCATCATCAATGCTGTCAAGCAACGCTGGATGGACTACAGACTATAGACACCAAAGTGGGAGACATCGCAGAAGACATGGCTGTGGTCAAACATCTGAAGACCAACGACTGTTCGAGGAGGCTTTATCGACGCAACTGCTGAGGAAGTCAGCAAACAGTTGGTCAGTTCTTCCCCTCCTAAACCTTATTTTAATTTTGTTTAGGTACAATTTTAATAGATTTTAATCAGTTTTTGTTATTAATTTGTTTTCTCTCTGAGTGGATGTATCTATGTAGTTGAGACGCTGGGGACATCGTCGGGAGGAAATGGGGGGATGTAATAGGAGGGCCAAATATTGTAAAGAGGAAGAGTTTGGCAATGTTGTGTGAGTAGACTGGTAGTGTTGTTAAACAATAACTTGTTGTGCTGACCTACTGAAGGCTGTTGCTTTAAGTAGGCCAGTGCACTTGATCAAGGGGTCAGTTTTGTGTGGAGTGGTTTGTGTGGTGCACCAGAGGATGGGGTCCTGCTGGGGGAGCTGGAGCCCAAGGCCAACCAAGAATTTAGAGTCTTTTCCAAATTGGGGTTTCAGTTTCTAACTAAATGAATTATACAGTTACAGTCTACTCTACCTTATTGATTGTTAGTTTAGCTTTGTGTTCTTTGTGTTGTTTTGAGTAATTAATAAATTTGGGTTTTGTAAGCGAGTGCTGAGTTTCATTCCTGAGCTACGTAACCCAAAGTAACAGTAGGTAGTCCAAAGAGGAAATACGTACCGTTACAGTAGCATTTATAAAATTTCAATTTACTTCAAACACTTGTAAGGGAAGGCGGTCCAAGTCCATTTAAGTTTTGTGGATGAGCCTGGAATTGAACCCGTCCCCCCCCCCCCCGAACCGAAGTCCGAAACGCTGGTAACTACTTAGTTAGCAACACACCCAATTTGCTTAAAACATGTTTAAAAATATATAGTTATCCATTGTTCTCATACATTTTCTTGATCTTATGGTACATGTATGTTATAAATCGTAATAATTTTATCCAAATTAAAGTATTACTTTTTAATATTGTTGTTAAAATCTAGTAATCTCTAGTTGTAAATGAGCACATCAAAAAGAAGATGACACGGTATTGCTAAATATTTTATGTTTCAGTCGTGAACAGAGCTCAAATTGCATCTTGGTCTATTCTTGACTCTTTTGGGGCACCGCACCTTGTAAACACAAGGCTACACTGGTATCTGAACGGGTTGAGATAGAAAATCCTTTCGAAAGTGAATTCGTAGTTAGCACATTTCCCATTCCTTCGATCCGTATTCTTCTGATGGTGATAAGGTTATAGACATTCAAGTTTACTCTCTCTGATATTTGAATCCAGGTTAAAAAAAACTCGTTGAATAACTGCAATAAATAAATAATTTATTCACAAACAAACATTTGTACAACTAGAGATAAATGTCGTTCAACAACAGAATTCACCACTTAGTGAATGTAAGTCTTGAGGGCAGAAGCGTAGCCGTAGGGGGCAGCGTAGCTGACAGCGGGTGCGTGGTAGGCAGCTGCGTAGCTGGGAGCGTAGCTGACAGTCGGTGCATGGTATGCAGCAGCGTAGCTAGGGGCGTAGCTAACAGCAGGGGCATGGTAGGCTGCGGCGTAACTGGGAGCGTAGCTAACAGCTGGAGCGGCGTATGAGACTACGGGGGCAGCTTTGACTACAGGTGCGGCGTAGCTTACAGCAGGCGCAGCGTAGGAAACGACCGGAGCTGCCTTGACTACAGGGGCGGCGACTACGGGTGCGTGGTAGGCTGCAGTGTAAGCAGGGGCGTAGCTAGAAGAAACTCGGTAGGAGTTAGAATAGGAGGTGGCGGCAGGAGCGTAACTTACAACAGGGGCAGCTTTGACTACCGGGGCAGCATAGGAGACAACTGGCGCGGCTTTGACCACTGGGGCGGCGTAGCTCACTGCGGGTGCAGCGTAGCTTACTGCAGGTGCGGCGTAGCTCACAGCAGGGGCAGCATAGGAGACTACAGGTGCAGCTTTGACTACTGGGGCGGCGTAGCTCACTGCAGGGGCATGGTAGCTTACGGCTGGGGCAGCGTAGCTCACGGCAGGAGCAGCCACTACAGGGGCTGGGGCGTAGGAGAGAGCGCCGTAGGAGCCGACGTATCCGGCGGATACCGCTGACAGCAGCAGAGGGAGGACAGTCTGAAAAATAATTAAGTAAATACAAAAATATACTCAAAACATTTACTACTTAAAACAATTCTAAAGCAACGTTGCATTGCATTAAAAATCAGATGTGGACATGATCCCACAGTTCCTGTGATTACTAGTTGCGACTCTGTGTATTTTAATCAACATATGAGGTAAGGATGAGTGAATAATGGAGTGATATGCTTTGTCTAGCTATTATAAGACCAGCTGTTTCTTCAGACAGGACCATTTACCATTGTATTAAAAGCCTTATGATAAAGGACAGCAGGATCCAGTTTCATCAAAAAACTTTTGAAATTTCTCAAGATCTAACCGACAACCTTGTCACTGGAAGACGCGCATAATAATTATTATAGCAGAGAAATCCACTATCCTCAACAACAGACTTTTCATAGTTATCAGAATTTAAAAGCCTTTTGAATACTGTACGACACACAAATTGATAAAATTGGATATCTACGGTTTTATTTTTACATTTTGGATGATAGACCCCATACTCTGATCATCAAACTTTTTAATGGAAACTTGTTGTGATACTTGATACTTGTTGTGAAACTTGTTGTGATTGTTTTAAAGTGCCTAAAAAATAACGACAAACGGAATCAGGGCCGATATAATAAACAGTCTCATAATGTCTATCAAATATTTTTACGAACAATACGAAACTCTGTTTAAACTAAAGGTTAACACTTTCAGTAGTAATTGAAAAGTAGTTTGGAGCTATCATTTTGTAAGAAATCTTTAGTAGCATCCAAACAGCTTTTAAGTAAATGTTAATGACTTTTTTTAATAAGTTCTGCTTATTATATATCACACGAGTTGTTAGATTATATAATTATGGACTGAAAATGACATATGACATACTTATTGTGTAATGTTTATGATAGAAACACTATTATTCATGTACTGTATCATATTCAATGTAGGGCATACAATAACCCCCCCCTTATAATGTAGCCAATAGTATTTAGAATTTCATAATATTTACATAATGTATCTTTAAGTATATTTTAGTTATCAAAGTAAACATTACTATAACAGCACTTATCAATGATAAATTAAAGATAAATTAAGGGATATTTTTTTAATACAGTGGTTATAACACTAGTTTTCCATTTTTAAAGCTTATTAGGTTAACCAACAAGTATAACCGAAAACTCTTAAAATTATTTAACATCGAATAGAGATAGATTTCCTTGAAAGTTTCCAACTATTATAGACAGCTACCATGAAGACGATGTCAATTTAAAGTTTAAATTAAAAGTTCTAACATCAATGTTATAAAAACTTCCTCAGTACATTGAACTATTGGCTTGACCTGCTCTTTGCTGTGATTGTCATAGAAGTATGCCTATCACATGGCTCTCTAGCTAACATGTTTTGGATACTTAGAACCTAAAACATATTTATATATCTGTATGCCTACGTTAGCTTGATAGTGATAGCACCGTTGTTATATTTACTAAAAATGTTGTAAGATCTTCTGTTACAGTATGATTAATTACTAAACTTGATCCTCCAAACCATGCTAGACAATTTTTTACAACACGACAAAGCCAGGTTAACAATAATACGAAAAATGTCTAAAAATAAATCTGCTATTCTGCTTATGCAAGATGTCTGTTACGCCTTGAACTAGTTTAAAAACTAAAAGTGTCCTCCCAAAAATTTTAGACACGTTTTAATAGATTAAAAAAAGTGATTATATTCACACATTATGATACTTCTAACACACTTCTAACGAAATTAAACCACACAAAAAACTTTCTTTCCTAAACACCTATACAAAGCATTAAAAAATAAAAATAAACTCCAGAGAATCTATAGTAGAGTACTCACCAGTAAGAGCATGGTGACAGATGTCATGTGGTAGATCCAGGAAGGTATATATAGTGTCCACCAGGGACGTACCTTATACAGAGGTGGTCCACGACACAGAGACCTTGCTAGGGTATGTGGAGCACGGCCTAGCGCGGTGGCATCTTCCCAACGCCCTAACTTGGATATCGGCGGAGTTTCGTCAGCTTAAAAAATAGTTGATTGCTGTAATAGTGTGTTAAGGTCTCGAATAGTTACTTCTAGCGGGAAAGAAATTATAAATACTTTTATTTTTTGTTTGGGTGGAGTTTTTGCTAGGTGCTTTTTGTCGGGGGTTTTGAAAGGAACTGTATAAACGCTGGTTTTTTTTATAGCATCGATTCATTATGTCCCAGTGACAAATAAAAATTCGGCTCGAGCTTGAAGGCAGTAACACTAAAGCTGTAATGTGAAGCTGGATATAAATATCATTGGTATCTTAAGTCATTTAAAACCAGCTGCATCTTGCTCTACCCAACATTCACTCTTAGAAAACCTATTAAAAATCATCACTGTTTACATTGCACATTGTTAAATTTACCCTGCCAACGAACCTTCTGCAAGCAAAGATTGGCCACCAACCACCAGGAACTCTTTGGCAAACGACATGCAAAGCTAATGTATTCATATTATCAGAGTAGGTACGCTATTATACAACTGAGGTGACAACTACTAGCGTTGCACAACAGTGTACAGAGTTTATCATAATTGACAGGATTATGACACGGTGATATTTCAATCCCACGTATGTAATGCCAAGTACCTGGTGAAGGCGCAGTTGGAAAAACCTGTCATTACAATTAGCGCGGAGTTGGAGTACTTTGATGGTTAGAGGCTACGTTTTGATCTTGAAAAATGTACGTAGAAGATAGCCTTACTACTCAAACAGACTTGGTTGAATTATGATGATAAGTGGCTCATTTATTTTACGTTGGAATATATATAAAAGGGTATCAAGGATTTATTAACGCAATAACAAGTTCCTTTTTTATTTATTCTTCTTTTTTATCTTGGACATAAGTGATTCTACAATAGTAGCATCCTTCAAGTCATATTTCCAATTGAATTTTTTGTCATTATATATAACTCACGTACCTGTAGGTCGGTGCACTTTTCCAGTGATCGATTAACATAAAATAATTCAGCCACATAAGCTATTTACTTGGCAAAGGGTTGCGCAAACTTTATAATTTGTTTGTAAGCATTATAAAAGTGTGTTTTTTCTCTACATCCCTTTCACTCTTGTTATGTTAGTTGTAAACGGGGTTTTTCAACATTACCCTCTGGTACTGCTTATTATCCTTTATCAATTTATTCTTTCATATATCAATCATTAACAACTTTATTTTATTAAAGACACATTTTATTTCCATAAAAATGCTTCCTCTGCAACCATCTAAGGCTGGTCACATTCGACAAGTTTCCGAGAATGTTTACAGTTATTTTGTAAGGTGTCCTTATTACACTTAATAGTGAAAAGTCTTTTAAACGGAAATTTACTAGTTCTAGAATTAAGTAGGAATGTATACTTAATGTCTACTCTTGAATAAAATCTGTGAGATTTGGTATATCTTATATTTGCTCGAATGAGTTTGTATTGATTGCTATACACGATCTATAGTAAGTAGATTAAAGTACATTAAAGTTCTTCCATTAATGTTTATCTCGAGTTCCTTAAAACACAAATAATTAGTCCATTCCGTTGTACAAACACAATAACCAGAGTGTCTTGGACATTTGTACCTGCCAAGCCATACAGGGTAAATAAATACAAGTATCTTGCGGTAAAAATTGATTTAAAATTAAGACGGGAAAACAACATAAGTCTAAGTTTCTTAACGGGAAAATTAAGAAAAAAAAATATATATTTTTTATAAGTTAAAATTTATTTTAAATGACTCACATATCAAAAGTATATGTTATGCTTACCTACAATTTAAGTTAGAATATGGTTTAATTGCACTTGGAGGAATTTTCAATCAATATTTGGTTTATTATTCTTAGTAGAAAAAATGACATTCAAAGCAATGTCTTAAAAGAAAAATTATCTCCCACCGATATAATTGTTTAAAGAATCCTGGGTTTTATTAATTAGACAACTATACATAAAAAACTTATGAACATTCACTTAACTAAATTCAGATTTAACATTTACACCAACCATACATTAATATATTTTATGACACGTAGAGCAGTAGAGACATGGCTTTACAGAGACGAAAAGCATTCCGCAGTACCTACAAGAATATTGCAGGCATTGCGCTGACTGTAGGCACTCCAATACTAAATGGATAGATTTACGAGGCTATTATAGATTTAAAACAATGTCTAGCATCATTTATCCCAAAAATTAAAATCATTAAGTAAAAGTATGTTAACACTTGATGTTTTCTTATACTTTCATACTATTAAAATTGTACAAGAAAAAATACTGTTGCTCAGGACAGCTTATACAGATTTGATCCAGACAGTTTTAAGGTTTTTGTATTCAAAAGCTTAGATAATTTAATATTTTGTAGTAAATTATTTCGTGTCGTAAAACTATTTTTGTTATTTTTTTAAATTTGGTTTTTGATTTTTTCCAGGAAGTACCCTATGTAAACAGTATCCTTATTAATACTATTTTTGATTATTTATTTTCGATAACTAGATATTATGGTTGTTATCTAATGAAAATAGAAAATCGATTAAATGTTTACTTGAATCAACTTTTCAATGTTCTATTTTTTTTTCAAATAAGAAATTATGGCAAATCTATGAAGTTAAATCAATCCATTTAAAATAAGATTTTTCAAATTTTCTTTGTCTCAAAGCAGTTGGGTTAACCGTGAAACATACATATATATTTGACTGTGACTAACGCATTCTTAATTCAAGCTTTCATTTTATCAAAGTAAAATATGTTTAGTAAATTATTTGGTTAAGATGATAAAAATGCAGAGGCCTTTGTTAGAGCTTATTGATGAACAGTGGAATCACTCGCATTTGGAATCAAATGACAATTTGATGTTGCTATTCTTGGGTTTTCAGTTTTCACTTGACCTATTTTATCCTCCAAAACCTCCAACATTTACAACCAGAAGGTTTGTTTTATAACTAATAAAAACATTCCTTGCATACTCTGCCATATGTTCACAGTTTTAGCAAAATAAAGTTAATCTAATCTATATTTATAAAAGAGGAATAAAATATAATTGTGGTAAACTAAGGTTTCAATTTACATTGCTTCTAAGGATCAAACTAAATAAGTAATTTAAATTATTTTCTTGTATCCCTTGCTATGTATCAAGGATACACTATTTAGTTTCTTTATATTTTTTTATTTTATTCTTATCATTTATCCATTTATCGATTCTAAAACAATTTAGTTTTTTAAGTTTACCTCAGATAACCAACAACGCTTTATACTGATAACTATAGATTTGCAGTGAAAGAAATGCGCTGTCACCAACAGCTCGTTGCACGTCCTACCTTTGCTCCGGAGCTTTCTAGATCACGCACTAGAGCTACAATTCCTCAGGTTAAGTCTTACGTTGGGTACCTCTGCATTTCTAGCTGGAAGCTGTCAACAAATTTAACCCTCTTAGAGAAAACCTGGCTACACTAGGTTTGTAGACGAGTCCTTCCAATTGCCCCTGGCACAATTGGTAGTATATTTCTTGTGTCCCACAATTAATTTTAAGACTCAATTTTCACAGCGACGTACAATTTTGTGTATTTTAAGGTTGAAATGGGTGGACGATGAAAGTTGATTCGTAAGAACATAGCGTTGTTACTATTGAAATGAGCTGGTTTAATAGCTAAGGGAATATAGTAAATGCACAATAACCAATTAAGTGTAGCTGGGTTCATTTTTTCGGGATACAACCGGCGACTTTGTCAATGTTATATATGCACTGTCCTCAGCTAAAACCACGACTGCTACTAAACCGTATTATATTGACATGGTAACGTGCAAACAATCTTGATGACTTATTTGATCTTGGCCATAAAGATAAAAGAAAGAGTAAAGATACTGCTGGTGTTCAGCTGAAAAGAAAATAGGCAAAGTAAGGGTAATATCGGGCAGCCATTCTGATAACCTACTATCAGTATGACTACTCAGTATGGGACAACGTACAATGTCAGATTCACGTTACAATCTAAGTGATATAGGCTTATAGGGTTCACAACACAATATAAGTGATAGTGGAATAGGGTTTAGCCCTTCGCAAACACGTAACTATATCTTACCACAGTGCTTACATCCTGCAGAGACTATTACATTCTCAGGGTTTAGAACAGCCTGTGTTAATGAACGCAGGAAATCATACTCCTTTCCTTTACTATCGCAACCCATCGATAAATCTATCACGGAAAGACTATTTAAAACACCAACGCAAAACGTTGCCAGGATTTAATAATCGTGAAGAGCAGTTCCACCGGTTTAGATGTTTGACCTACCTTACATCACACGTCGTTGGATGTTGAAAGTGGCTCTAAAGTCTAGAGGATGATGCATTGTATGTTACTCAAAGTGAATGATGAATTTTGTAGATAGATATAAATTGTGTTAAGAATCAGTTTTATTTTATTGTGTCCTTGTCTTGCGCTCGCAAACAATGACATTCGTCATTTGGACAGAATGTCACCCAACAAGAGAATGCAAAGTATCGATGATTACTGCAAACAAATGGCAAACGAAGCAATAAAATAAACATTTAATTAGTACAATTTTCAAAATATGAATAATAGGGCATACATACAAAGGAGATTAAGATAACTGAAATGTATTTAAGATGTAAAAGCTTAGCTACTTCTATTGAATAATTAAATAATTACATTGAATAATTTAGAGTTTTAATAAAATCATATCATGAATTAGCACCTTGCTAGTGAGTATTTAGCCATCTGAAGTAAAATTAAATTTCTATGGAGCCTCAAGAACCTTCTTATATTTATTTTGAATCTGATGAAAAAAATTGGAAATCTTTTGCCTAGTTAATATTTTGAAAAATTAATAGCTACCTGCAACAGAAGTAACCCTTATTTTTTCCTTAGATTCAGCCCTTGACGTTGCTATCCGTCAAAACGTTTCCGGGCCCCAATTGAAACGAAATAAATATCCACCACAATACATAATACAATATAAATTAATTTCATCATCAGTTGGCCAGCCTGCTACGCCCAAACAGCTGTTCCAGATCACCGCCCACCTGCATCAGCTGATCGTGACTCCCGCGGTTTTTCCCGGCTGCAATCCCCAAATCCATCACAAGTTGGCGGTCCACGCCCTTACTTATGACTGACGTAACTTTGCTCTGTCTCCCGCGTTGTCTTAATGTCAACGGAGATGTAGTGTTGGTTATGGCATTCTGTGAACATGCCTAAGATAGTGTGCGAGTTGTGCAATCTTCGCCGGCGAGAACTGTGAACAAGTAGAACTTTGCGATCGTTTGGAGTAAACGATCAAAACCTTATAAACTACTGTTTAGTTCTCAGGATGGCCTAATTAGTCAATCGAGAAAATCACTAATCAATGGGTAATACCTACCTTGGATACCTTGAAATGTAAACTGATTGAAAAGTGAGGAGAAAGGGATTTATGGTATACAGGGTGGCTGAATAGT